GTAGCAGAGGAGAAGCTTAAAGTGAAGTTCCACTTTGATTAGAAGTGCATCTATTATTTTTTTCTTCTTTTGATTTTAGTTTCTAATAATGAGACATTTAAGAAATACATAAAGGTTCAGAAAATATTATATTCACCTGTGTGTCGCCACTGAGATAAAACAGATCTGAATTTTTTTGCCATATTTGCCTCAGATCCTTTTTTAATTTTTTTACTTTATTTTTTTTTAAAGATTTTATCTATTTATTTATTTATTTTTCCTTCTTCTCCCCAAAGCCCCCAAGTACATAGTTGTGTATTTTAGTTGTGGGTCCTTCTAGTGGTGGCATGTGGGACGCCGCCTCAGCATGGCCTGATGAGTGGTGCTAGGTCTGCAGTTAGGATCCGAACCCAAGGAGCTCAAGATCCGGGCCTCGAAAGCAGAGCGCACAAACTTAACCACTCAGCCATGAGGCTGGCCCCCTTTTCTTATTTTTTAAAATGTAAACCATTTCAGATGATGCTGAAATCCTCTCGTCCTTTTCCCCTTTTCTCCCAAAGGTAACCACTGTTTTACACTTGACATGTATATTTAAGATCCATGTATGTAACAAGCATTCCTATATGTAAACACATATGTCTGTGTATGTTTAACAAACATATCCTACTGTTTCTAGTGTTTCATGTTTAAAATTTTGCATGAACAAGTTACTCTATAAAAATTAAAACTCATTGTGACTTGAGTTTTAAGTTAAGTATCATAGGTGAGTTTCATAGCTCACATTTCCCTAACGTGGAGCAGTTAGGCTGTGTTCACTTTGTTGATTATGCAAACCTAGCTAAAACAATAATCCCTGAGCATGTCTCCTTGCCTGTGTGTGTGAGAGCTTCTCTGGCATAGACTTCAAGAAGTAGGCTTTCTGAGTGTTGACACGTTTAACCTAAATAAATGTTGCAATTACTCCACAAAGTAGCTGTGCCAAAGTGGAGTCCCACGGAATGTGCTGGAGTTCACATTTTCCCACATCTTCAACATCATTTGGTGTTACCAGACCTTCAATGTTGCCATTCTAATGAACATTAAATATTATATATTTATTTGTAATTGGAATTTCCCTGATTTCCACTCAGGTTGAGCATTTTTTATAGGTTTAATGGCCATTTGAGCTTCTTCCTCTTGGGAAGTGTTTTTTCATAACTTTTGCTCATTTTTCTGTTCAATTTTTATCTTTTCCTTTTTAATCTATATTAGCTATTTACATATCGTGCATACAAATCTTTGTTGGTGCCATAGTCAGTAGAGCTACTTACTGACATCCAGTTCCCCCTTCTTTCTGGGCACATGGAAAATTGAATTTCCTGCCCTCCTTGGGACTGGGTGGAGCCATCAACTAGTTCTGCCAAATGAATTGTGAATAAGAGTGATGTGGGTCATCTCTCTGTTAGAGCATTTAACTGCCAGTGTGAACCTCCAGAGTTTTCTCTCTCTCTGGCATGGCTCTTGGCAATGGTCAATGTGTGGGTGCTCCGTCAGCCTGGATCTCTGTGTAATAACAATGAGGAGCACTCCCTGCTGACGCACAGTGGATATGTAACATGACCAAGACATAAACCATTATCGTTTTAAAGCCACTGGAATTTTGGAGCTATTGTTACAAGCAGTTATTTTCCATCAGCACTTTAAAAATATTATTGCCTTTTCTTTTGACCTCTATTGGTGCTATTGAATAGTTTTTTCCCACCTCATTGGCTATTGCTTTGTAGGTAATCTGTCTTTTCTATCTGGTTCCTTCAAAGATTTGATCTTTGTCTTGAGTATTCTTTAAATTCGCTACAGTATGTACAAGTGTGATTAATTTTTATTTATCTGTTGAAAGTTATTGCGAAATGTACATATGAGGATTCATTTTATTTATTAATTCTAGAAAATTTTGAAATGCTATCTCTTGTATATTTTCTCTCCACCATTCTCTTATTTGTTACTTCTAGCCGGGCCTTCTCATTCTGTCTTCCATATCTCTTGAATTCTTTTTCATATGGTTTTTGTCTCATGAATTATCAATCTGTGTTACATTTCAGAAATATTCTTATTTCTTACGTTTACCAATTTCTCTTCAGATACTTCTTATCTACTGTTTAAACTGCTTGCTGAGCATTTAATTTTCACAATTTTTAAAAATATTTTTTGAAATGCACCATATTTTTTCAAATACATCAGTTTGTTTTCATAATGTCTTATTCATTTATTTGACTTTTATTTATTTCTGTATGCTTTTAGCATAATCCTTTTATAATTCATATTATTATCCAATTATCTCAAGTTCTCAGAGATTCCAAGTTTGTTGTTTGTCATATTGCTAACTTTGGTTATGGCAGATTGTTTCTTTGAATGTTTTGTAACTTTTAATGAGAATGTATCTTTAAATGGGGTAGTTTTTTTTTCCTATGAGAATCTTTCGTACATATGGATGGAATTCCAGAGTAGTTTTATGTTTGTATTTGCCAAGTGTCTCAGGAATATCACCAGCCATGGGTTCATTTTACTATTATTTTCTAGGCTTAGGGTTTTCTAGATCAAGTAGGTCATGCGATTTCAAATCTCAAACACCTGCCAGCGAAAGTACCGTAATTATATATTATCAGGAGAGACTCTGTTCTCCTCCAAAAGCCCAGATAGTGACATACAAGCTTGCTTGACATGTCTGTGTATCTATAGTAGATCTTTTTTCCCCAGTCCATTTTTCAGTTAAAGATGCAACTATTTGAGATCTTGGATCTGTATATCTGGTCTTTGTTTTAACTCCCTGCCTTACATGATCCCAAGGCATCATCAACTATGTCTGTAAGGCCAATAGAAACTATGTCCCTAGTTTAATTAGAGACACACTCCATACAAACACAATCTATCATTTTTCCCTTCATCATTGGTTTTCACTCTCCCCTGTGATTCTCGCATCTGTGAATTGTCCATTCTCAGCTATGACTTCAAAAGAATATTTGCTATATTTTATCTAGCATTTCTAAATTTTTGTATAGATGGGTTTACAGATTATATAATCTATCAACTTACTAGAACTGTAAATTTATTATTCAATATTTTAAAAACCTATATTTTAAGTTAAGAAAAGAGAACCATGCATCAATTCCATTTTGTGTTTATTATTAAAAAAGCAAAAGCATCAAACTTCCCCATATTGCTTGTTTCTAACTATATTATTTTTCATAAAAGTCAAGCAGACATAGCTAAGCCATTATATTTCCCACTGTTAAAAGAATTTCTGAAGCTTTGAATTTACCAGTAGAAGATACTTTCTAGAATATCAAAAAGTCACTGAATCTCACTCTATGTTGATATCCCAAGACTGCCCAGGTTGAAATTTAAGACATTCTACTTAGAAGTTATGTAATCTTGGACAAGTAACTTAATATGGGAACAAAAATCATATCTATTCCAAAGGGTTATTGAAAGAGATAAGTGAAGTAAGAAAGTATTATACTTAGTCCAGTGCCTGGTCATAGAAAGCACTGAGTAAAAGTAAATGATAATGATAATGATAATAATAATAATAATAATATTGAAGCCGTACTTAGTCACCTAATTCCAGGTGATCATGAAGCACTAACTACAGTTTATTCCAGGAACAGATCTTTTACGGCACCAAATTTTCCACATTTCTACAGAAATCTTGGCTGTCATGGTGAGGAATAAGAATATCAAACTCCCTGTTTAAGCATTCTTTCTAAGCCTAAGCAAAACCCCTAAATCATTATGTACATAATTCTGGGATATTTTTTAGTGTTTAAATTAATTAATACAAAGGGTAAACACTGAGAATGGCACCCGGTACTTTGTGGGCACATGTCAGTGTCCTTCTTTTCTTTATCATTACATGTCTTGGCACAACTCTAGACTTGTTACCAGATTGGCCCATATCTTCAATTAGGTATATAGAAGGAAGTTAGTAAATAAATTCAAGCTGCTCAAAACTCATCACTATGAGTTATTTTATCATAAAGAAGGCCTTTGATGGAGAAATTTTGCTGACCCTCCAGAAAGTGGTCACCACATTTTCTTGGCCATGCCACACACAGCACACTTGGGGATTGCTCACATGAAAGCCCTGGCACGTAGCTTTGTCCAGTGGCCTGGAACTGTTTCTGATATTGGAAGGTTTATAAACCAATATTGTACACGCCAGGCTACTCAACATAACTCAGCAATTGCACCTATTGTTCCAAAAGGCAAGACCAAAAACCTTGGCCAATAACAATCCATAATGATTTTTACATTTTATTTCATGGTTGATATTGATTTCAGTAGAATTCATCTCAAAATACTTTGTGAATTTCCCACTTTTATTTCACATATTCTGGTGCAACCAGAATATCTCTCTGCCAATTTTTTGCAATAGTGAAGTCTAGATATCTTTGTGAAGAGAATAATGACAACTTGGATGAGTGTCATGTCCAAAATTAAATCTCATCACTTTGGAGGAAAAATTAGCCTAAAAGAATGCTGGGTACTGTACGCAACTCAGATCCAACCATAAATGTTTTGGAATCCTTTCTGCATAGAGTATGGAAAAATCTACTGTCTAAAAGTTGTAAGCATTTTTCCACCTCTTGGAAAGTGGAAAATTGAGATAAAGTTTGAGGCAGTGCATCCCTTTGACCTAGGATAATTTTCCAAAAAAAGATTTACTTAAGCAAATACCTTTCCTGGAATGGATATGTCTGAGTCAACGTGACTCTGAAGGAGTTAAAATTCTTTTGACAATAATGAAAAAGGTTGGAATTAGTGCAGACAACAATGTATTTCTGGAAATTGTTTCCTTTAGAGGGATATTTATTTCCTAGGTAATTATTTAGATTACACAGCTTAGTCTTAGACTCATGAATGTTTTTGTTGTTGAATTGTCTTTCTCACATTGCTGGCCATGAGCGACTAAGCCTAAAACCAATTAATAAAAAATCAACTTACACTTCATTACCAGTAAGCTGTCTTGCTTTCTGGAAGAACCTAGCATCAGCAGCTACTCCAACTATGTCAACTAATGCAGAATAAGATTGAATATATATCACCTTGTATTATAATCTTTACACCATTTATTCCACCCTTCTATTTCTTAACACCTCCCTTGACTACTCCTCTTTTTATTTCAGATGACATAAGCTTCTATAACCCCCAAAGTGATAGAAATTTACCATATAAAGTCTAAAAGAGGTGTTCTTAAGCACTCGCCAGTTCTTCTGCAAGTAGTGATTCAAGGACCCAGGATCCTTTGGTCTTATGGCTCTGTCATCAACATGTGGCTTCCAAGTGACTATGTACATCTGCATCAAGCTATGCAAGGGAAAAATCATGGAGATTGAGGCACCAAAAATGTTTATTGCCAGGCATTGAGGTAGTATACGTCATTTCCACTCAGATTCCACTGGTTAAAAGACTGTCAAGACATCAGTTTATTGCAGACTGGAAAACGTCCTTTAACCACATGCCCAGGAGGAAAAGTAAATGGGTTTGGCAAACAGCTGGCCAGTGTTAAATGACACTATCTTTGTTTCTTCATCAATCAATTTTTTAATTAGAATTTTACAGTTGTGCTTGGGAGGCTACAGTTCTCTTCATTTCTAGCTTATTGCAAGCTGACGGAGGTGGGGGATTTTCATATTCTAGAAGTCGGAGGACTTCGTGTGCATGCAGAAGTTCCTTGTAGTACATGTGTGTTCTCGTCTTCACAGTCGCCCACTATAGATCAGGAGCCAAAACTAAAAAACATAAAGAGAGAAGTGGAAGCATGCTCCTCACCACATGTTAGTGGAGAAATAAAGAAGGGAACCAGACTGGGATTGCTAAAGCCCAACCTGGATTTGGCTGTTGATCTCTAACACATGGTGTATGATAAATAGATTCCAAAATTGGACCAGCTGAATCATTACAGACAAACCTCAATTATCTCCATATCAGCTGAGATGTTCACTTTTAATAATTATAAATTAATCAGGAACTTATTCCAGATTTCTGTCTATATGTGCTTTATTCTTGGATATTTTTTTTTTGTCTTGCAAAAATCAGTTTTCATAATGATATGGAGCTGGGTCGATGTGGCTTCCCATCAAGATAATTGAGTTTCCTGAGGCTGGGTCATATAAATTTCAGAGCACAGGTAGGCTGGCATGGCATCACGGTATTGAAGATTCAGAAGGCCATTCCACTTGAGAGTTTGTCAGCTGCAGAGCCTAGAGGTGCATCCCATTGGTGCTGATATTGGCTTTTCAGCTGTACTTCTGATGACTCTCAGGAGCTACAAAATGAAAGATGCAATATGCCTTCACTTTTCTGCAAAGGAAGCACCTGGAATTTTTACATAAGTTAGTAATGTATAGGGACAGATATTAAATGTTTTAAATGACTGAGAGAGGCTAATTTGTATATTTAGGCACTGACTTAATGCTTATCTTCTCAATTTAACAAAGCAGTTTGATAGGCTATGTGGACCAGTGAAGCAGGAATAACAATGAATAAGTAGCCTAAGTAACTTTAGTGGTGTTGTGGGAGGAGATAAGAAATATATACATCTATTGGTCAAAGGGTCAAAAGGTTCAGTTATGCAGAATGAATAAGTTCTGGAGATTTAATATACAGCATGGTAACTATAGTTAATACTGTACTGTATACTTGAAATTTGCTAAGAGTTGATCTCAAGTGTTCTACTCATAAAAGAAATTGTAACTATATGAGGTGATGGATATGTTAATTAACTTGATTGTGATAATCATTTTGCAATGTATACATATAAAAATATCACATACACCTTAATCATACATAATTTTTACTTGTCAATTATACTCAAGAAAGCTGGAAAAAAGAAATATATACATCTAACTAAAATATATAGCTTAATAGTAGTGCTATTCTAGAAGCAGAAGTATAAACAAGATATGTATACTGGCAGTGCACAAAATGAATGGATTAATTCTGATTAGGTGGTGTCTAAGAGGGCTCACAGAGGAAATGATATTTGACTTGGGTCTGGAAGGAAGATTGGATTACAGATGGTGGAGATGATGCAAGAAAATTTATGTGAGCAGAGGTGCAGAAATAAGCAAGCTCAGATGTTCAGGGAGTAGAAAGTTATCTGATTTCATAGAAGCAATTCAGTTATTATTCAATAAATATTTATTGAGTGCCTGTCATGTGTCAGATACTATTATAGGCACTAGAGATACATCAATGAACAAAACAGAATAAAACAAAACAAAAATCATGATTTGAATCCCTTTTTGGGTGAGAGGAGCCCAGAGAATGTAAGAGAAAGTAAGAAGATAAGTTAAAAAGGTTGAGGCCCGTATTTTGAGGGCCTTGAATTTAGAATATAGATATGGAACATATATTGCATACATGTGAGAACAAAATCCCTGGGAAAAATAGAGTTCCACAGAAAGAAGAGATCCAAGTAGAGAATCCTGAGGAATGTCAATATTAAATGAGGAGGATAAAGACTGAGCTGATGGAGTAGACTGAAAAGGAACTGTCAGAACACAAGGTTCCTGGGGGAAGGGATAGTACCTGTCTTTTCACCACGGGATCTCCAGCATCTAGCACAGTGCTCTCAGCATAGTAAGTGAGCATTATTCTTTTAAATGAATGTATTATTTAAAGAAACCAGGAGGTAGCATTACAGATCTCAAAGGACGGGAAGACTTTAAAAGTGAGCAGAAAAATCTTCCCAAATGTTGAATCAGTTAAGTAACTACGCTGGTTATTCTGTTTGCTCCCCCCACCCCCAAACTCATTATCCTCTCTTCTCTGCCCTGATCTCTACCCCTCCCCCTCCCAGAAAACTGATGTCTACAAACAGTATTACCTGGGTTGCCCTCTGTTAAGTTCAGGTTAACCAATGGGAGACACCAGCAGGACACCAAAGGGTAAGAAAAGAGAGTAGCCAGGAATTTCTTCTCCCCTCCCTCCCTGCTGGCCAGTGGTTTGGGCAGAGGCTGATTTTCCTCTACTAAAGCCACAATTCCTATCAGATTGCTACAGCTTTTGTTTGTTTCTAATAACACTCCTCTCACTCACTGCTTCAGGCCTTGCTTTCCTGCTCCGGTTAGTCCCTGGATCCTTCACCACCTCTGGCTGGCTCCCTTAACCTCCCCACCGCATTACTTCACTTCACTAAAATTCACTTTATTAAAATTAAACCCTTTTATGTGCTGTTTCCTACTGTGACCATGACTGATGGAGTAATTAAAAACTTTGAAGAGATTATTCATAATACCGTAGAGACACTGTAGATGCTTACGGTGGGAATCTGAATCCGGGTAGCATAAGTCAATTAGTTAATAGTAAGTAGGAAAGTCGAAGCTGAGGATAGAGATTTTTTTTCTTTTGTAATATGAGGGTAAATAGGAGAAATGGCATCATGTGAAGGCAAGACAAAAGGGCGAGAGAAGGCTTTTGATTTTTTCTAGAATGGAAAGAATTCAGCCTATAACCGTGTTCAGTAGAGTGAGCCAGTAGAAAAGGAGAAAATAGAAATATAAGTCTCAAAGATGGTAACTCACGGAGCACAATTCCAGAGAAATCAGACCCAAGAACACTGGTTAAAATCAATTAAAGAAGTAGGGAGTTATTCTGGGACAGGAAAGAAAAAGCTAAATTTGGTAGAAGATAGAGATGGAATTTGTGATAGGAAACGTGAAAGCTGAGAAGGACTATATCTGAGGGTCCCTCTTATCTGTGCAACACATCATGTGGTAATATTTGCTAAGATGGCCTTAGGAGACTGGTCAAGATTTGAGAGAGACGGAAATTGAGAATAAGTTAGAATGTTGTGGAATTTAATTTTATTCTATAAAGTGGCGCTGGGTGAAAGATGATGAAAACTATGCTTTTCTATCCTTGACCTTGCAACAATGAGTAGGATGGATTAGAGAATAAGAAAATCAGCATATTAGTGGAAATTGCAATCGTTTAGAGACAGAGTTAATGAGGATCTGACTGGGCAGAGAGAAGCGAGGCTAAATGAGGATGCTACAGAGAGTTGATTCATGAATTCATTGACTGCTCTGTGCTTGACACTATAGAAGACATGATAGAGATTTCACAAAGAGTAGAAAGTATACTTCCTATCTTCAAGGAACACACAAGCTAGCTGGGAAAGCATAGATATATGACAAAGACTGAATTAAAGAAAGACTATTGAACCAGGAGTCAGACCCAGATTCTAATCTCTGTGTGTCAAAAACTCAGCGTTAGGTCCTGGGTAATTTATTTCCCCATTTTCATCTCAGCTTCCTTGTTTGACCAATGAAGGAGTCAAAAACTGATGGTCCCCTTGGTTTCTAAATACCATTCTTGAATAAAAGGAATCAGGGTTCCTTGGAGAAATACCTGATGCTAGAGCTGGGCCAGGCAAAATAGAAGATGAACCGAGAGCATCTTGTGGAAATGGAAGTGCTCAACAAACAAATAGATGGGGACATGTCAAAAGGACACAGAAACCAACTTAAAGGAGCTCTCAATGGCTGAAGTTGGAGGAATTTGATCAACAAAATAAATAACATACTATTGGATTATAATCCAAAATATAAAATAAATATATGAGTACACATTGATATAGATAAAATATTGAATTAAAAATGGAGAAGAAGAGTCAAACCTTTCTTATAGAAGAATTCCAAATAATATACGTAGCTACCTCCCCTCCAAGATGTGAAGCTTGACTCCACTCCCTCCCCCCAGACACACCCTGAGAATGGGCTAGACTTAGTGACTTACTTCCAAAGAATAGAATAGAAGAAAGAAAAATAGTAACTTTATATGGTGAATGTCATGCGGTAATGTGGTAATAGCAATGTCATGTGGTTATCATGTACTCTCAATATGACGTTATAAGAAGGGCACTTCAGCTCTGTGATCTTCTTTCCAAAAACCAATCGACCCGGTCTACTCACGAGAACGACATCAGACAAATTCAGTTTGGAGGACATTCTACAGGATCCCTTGCCAGTCCTCCTAAGGACTGTCAAGGTTATTAAACAAAAAGGAAAGGCTGAGAAAGTCACAAATCACAGGAGACTGAAGAGACACGACAACTAAATGCAGTATGCTATCCTGGATTGAATCCTGGAACAGAAAGAAGACTTTAATGGGAAAACAGATGAAATTGAAATAAAGTCTGGAGTTCAGTTAATTAAAAAAAAAATTGATGGTCTCTAAAGTCTCTTCCAGCTGGTAGCTATAAGAATAGCATTTATTATATAATTGCTTCATAACTGGGCTCATATTGCTCACAAAGCGCCAAGAACACACGAGGTAAGGGAACCATTAAAGCAGGATGGAAGGCTTTAATCAACTTTTTTTTCTCTTCTAACTTCCTGTAGTGTGTTTCAGTGATGTAGTATGTGGTTAGCTCAAAGAAATATTTGAGGGAATAAAGTAGCATTTTGGTGAAAGCTTCTTGTCTGTTACTTTCCCAAATCAGTGCTTACCTTCTTCCCTAGTAAGGGCAGTCTCAAGTGAGCCAGAAGGTTTCCATACGTTTGCAACCCTGAGGATCTGAGTCTCCTAGACTGCGCCATCACAAGGCAGCACACTATGAAACTGTTGCTATGGTGATGGTCATGGTGACAAGGCTACCTTTGGCTCATTTGATTTTCCTGGACAGTTTCTTTGCTTAAAAAAAGTTTATGGAGCCCCAATGTGAAATCATGCTGGCTCTGATTCATGACATTTTCCTGAGACTTTATAATGTTTCTTTTTTCTAAATAAGCAATTTCAAGTCAGGTAAAAATGTGAGTAAATCATGCCTGGCTCCTGTTCCAGATGTATCAATTTCTGTTCATTCCCTTTTTTCCCTTTCATGGCTTTGGGACAATAAAAATAAGCAATGCCTCCACTCTGGAGCCCTTCTGAGTATGCAATACATAAACGGTATACCGTGTAGGGAGCAATATTTCCCTACCTTGGTCATTACCGTTCTTAGCGGTTTCTCTGGCAATTATCTGAAACAGCAAGAATGTGGAGTAATGATTTTGGCACACTCAAGACCCAGGGAGGATCAAAGAGGCTGATGTGACAGTTCATGAAACAGGGAGGAAGCAAACCGTCCCCCACTGCCAACACTAACACAGCCCTGTGTTTGAGAGTCTGGGGGAGTCCAGTTGCCAAGTGTCTGCCTGCATTTTCTTTGAGGGGGCCAGGCCCAGAGCAGGTCAGGAAAATTATGGCTTTTATCAAGTAGACACCGTGGCTCTCTTTGAGGATGGCCAAAGTCTCACTCACTACTGGTAACTGCAACACATGTGGTCTTTTCAAGAGAGGGCATGAATATAACTGGGAAACAGGGTACCCACATGAGACCTCATTTATTTGGAATACTTAGGGCAAAGCCGAAAACAGCAAGTTGTTTGTAAAGAAATTAAGAGTGAGGGCTCTGGAGACAGATTGCCTGGGTTTTAATCCTGGCCCTTTCATGTACCATTCTGTATACCTTGAGCAAACTCCCTAATTTCTCTGCCTGTTTCTCCAACAGTAAAATGAAAATAATAATAGTATCCAAGTCACAAGATTGCCCAGGCAATTAGCAGATGTATTTACAACAGTGCCTGGCACATGGTAAGTCCTCAATAAACGTCATCTGCTATTATTATTTCCTTTTTAATCGTCATCATTCAGGAAAGAAAGTAATCAGGTTTTGTGATGCCCTATGAGCTGCTTTTCCAAACTGTTGTTTGTTCTTCAAATATTCACCAAGGGCTTAAAATGTATGAGGCATTATGCTAAGCAGTATAGATAACTCAGGAACAAACAAGTCCAGTTCTTTGCCACCAAAAATTTATATTCCAGTAGAAGAGATGAGAAAAATGTGCACAGAGGACTACACTATATGATAGAGTGTTTTCCCTCCAGTGTGGCACTGATTATACAGTAATTTGGGATTTCAGGAAAAAAGTGAATCTCCTAATGAGTGGGATGGGGTACTCTTATGGAGGAGGAAGCATTTGGCCAGAACTTGAATAACAAGGGGAATTTTTTGTTTTAATGACAGAGATTGGTGTGGGCATGGATGGCAGGCAGGTAGAAGGGAGGGGATGGGGAGGAATCAAGGCAGATGAAATGACAGAGGGAAGATGCTGAGGAGCCACTTGAGAGGAGAGTGATGTCCCAATGCAGGGCTTAAACCTGGACTTCTTGGTAGTCAGATGTGCACAAAGGTAGGAAAGGCAGTTGATGGAGGTCCTTGAGTAGACTTAGCCAAGGAGTTTTTATTTCATTAAGAAATGTCATTTTGGGCTGGCCCCGTGGCCGAGTGGTTAAGTTCGCGCGCTCCACTGCAGGCGGCCCAGTGTTTCTTGGTTCGAATCCTGGGCGCGGACATGGCACTGCTCATCAGACCACGCTGAGGCAGCGTCCCACATACCACAACTAGAAGAACCCACAACGAAGAATATACAACTATGTACCGGGGGGCTTTGGGGAGAAAAAGGAAATAATAAAATCTTTAAAAAAAAAAAAAAAGAAATGTCATTTCATTGTTATTTCATTAAGAAATTGGGACTTTTTGGGAATAAATTGGTAGTGCTATGAATTTTGAATTAAAAGTCTGCTCTAGAAACTGACTTTGAGAGGATATCTTGCCATATTACTAATGCTTTTCCACACAACACAAAAAGATATTTCCATCATTTATCATTGTTTCTAGCACGTCCTAATAAATAAATAAATTTACAAAATATCTTAAGAAAACACTAATTCCTCAAAGATTGTGTGTTATGGATTTTACAATTACAGAGTACTTTTACCAAAGGTTTTATAGAGCATGTTACAATTAAGCTCAATAATTTTCGTAACAAATGGGATTTGCCAACTGAGATTTCTCTTTTGAGAAGAATCTGTTTTCCATAGTTCTATGTGCTTTATTAACATAGTGCTGGCACTTGGAGCCATGTTATTACATATAAATTATTTTAAAAGCCCAAGTTATTGCATTTATGCAAATGTATAAGAAACCTCAACAAAAATAAGTTTTTCAAATATTCCTTTAAGTTAAATTCAAAACTTCATTCCAAATGAAGTCACAAATTCTACAAATAGAATATTTTGAAGAGGCCCAAATGTAGCATCAATATTATCTTTGGGACACTAAGCAACTTGAATTTTAGGCCCATTCTTTTCTATTCTAAAAAGCTGTTCTAAGAAACCCCTCCCATCGTTCCACTCTCTCTCCTTCCTTCTATCAATAAACATTTAACGAGTGCCTCCTTTCTGCTAGCTACTGTATCAGATGCTTCCATTTCTTTGTCACCAGTCTAGGTGTTTTTGTTTGTTTGTTTTCTGTATTAAAACTACACCGTTGGGGCAGTCCCATGGCCAAGTGGTTAAGTTCCTGCTCCACTTTGGCGGCCCAGGATCTTGCTGGTTCGGATCCTGGGAGCGGACATAGCACTGCTTGTCAGACCACGCTGAGGCAGCATCCCACATGCCACAACTAGAAGGACCCACAACTAGAATATACAGCTATATACTGGGGGGATTGGGGGAGAAAAAAGCAGGAAAAAAAAAAGATTGGCAACAGTTGTTAGCTCAGGTGCCAATCTTTAAAAAAAAAATTCGCTGTTAATGATGATGAGAAAGAGCCTTGAATCAAGCACCATAGCTGGTGGTTCAGAAAATTCTCTTATAAAAAACCCACTCTTTAATTAGAAAGGCACTATCGCAAAGCTTTTCAGGAAATTCTCCAGGCATTCTTTGAGGCCCTCAACATCTGCCTTCTCATTGCTCACAGCACCCTCCAAGGAGAGGCTCTGGGTAACAGTGACTTTGGATGTCAGTTAAGATTCCTAAGAACTGGATTCTGGATGTGATTCCTATACAACCTGAATGTAAGGCAGTAACTCAACCTGTCTGACCTTTTGTTTCTTAAACTAACATTTTATTAATAATTCTTACTACATGTTGCAAAATAATTAAGGCCTATATATGGGGAAAGCATTTTGAGCTCCTTAGATGAAAATAATTGTATGAATTATTAAGTAAAAACAACAGAAAGGGCAATAAAGCCAAGATGGAAGAAAATTGTGCTGACCGAATTCACTTCTTCCTCCATGGAGTTTTTCTGCATTCTTAAGGAGCTAAGAATGAATAATTTTTTTAAACAGATGACTAAGTGACTGCAAGTACACCACTAAACAAGAGTGATAAAATTCTGGTGCTCCCTCTTAGTTAATTAAAGAGAGCAGTTCATAGCAGAAAAGTAACACCTAAAAATTAGGAGATAACGTGGTACAGTGGAGAGAAGGCTGACCTCCATGCACAGCTGTGAGACCTTGAACTTCTTTAACCTCAGTTTCCACATCTACAAAACAAGGAAATTAGACTACAAGACCCATAAGATCCTTCCCAATACAAAAAGTCTAGGATTCTTGAAACCTCTTAATGATAACTCCCAGCATAGATTTCCAACCACTAATTTGAAAGTTCTTAGAATTTAAAATAGTCATCATTTCTGCTGTTCTTCTGCTCTAGTCCACTCCAAAACTCATACCTTTTGATGGGTTAGCCAGAGAACATAGTGTTTTCCCAAGGTTTTTTGTTCTGAGTAGGATTATGCCCCAGTTTGACTTCCTCTGGTTTACTTATTCCACATTTTGCTGAAATTTGGCACCCAACTGCTCAAAGAAACATTGCACCGCAGTTGAAAGCTCCAGATCATTTATTATCTAGGGTCCTCTCAAATTTATTCCCAGAGAATGAGTCTGAGAACAGCTGAAAGATGCCACTAAACCTGCACCCTTCTTTCGAGAGGCAGCTGAACTCAAGTGTGGGAGTCTGGTCATCTTGTCTATCATCAGAGGAGTGTATGGTTAGGGTCAAGTATACTATAGTTCTCAAATACCACTACAGTAGTATTTAGGCAAAATCAGGTTGAAATGTACAAAGGAGGATGAATAATACTCTTTTTCATAGGGTTATTGTAAGGTTTTAAGATGATGCATGTAAAACATCTGATATGTGGGAGGTACATAGTAGCTAGTAGTCATCAAAGGATCCCTTGATTTATCAAGCTAAACTCTCATCATACCCCTCTCTCACTCTGAGCCCTTGCCGAGCAGAAACCTGCAGTTCCCCATAGGTATCATGCTTTCTCTTGCTCTGTCAGTGGGCCATTGCATATGCTGTTTCCCTTGCCTGTTACAACTCTGCATTCCACTCCCTTTAACCAACTAACTCCTACTGAACATTTTTAATCTCAAAATTTATTCATAAATTCAACAAATATTTACTGAGTACCTACTGTGTTCAAGACACTGCCTTTGATGGTGTAAATATGTCAGGGAACAAATCAGACCAAAACCCAGCCGTATGTTCTCCTAACACCTCTAGTGATTACAAGCATGCTTCTCTTTATCCCCACTGGACTGTGTGCTCCCTGGGAGTGAGGACCATGTATTTCTTAAAACTGCAGCACCAAACAAATGTCTGGTGTAAAGCAGGTGCTCGATATTGAATTAATAAATTATTTAATAAATAAAATTAAGAAGAACTGAGAATAAACAATA